TGAAGTCCAAATTAATAAAGTAGAACAATGGGAGAAATATTGAAGTAGCAATTCATAAATGGAAAGAAAATAAAGCAAGATCGTGTTGAGTAGAGTTGAGTGATGACGTAGGGAAATTAACATTGGATCCTGTTAGAATTTCTTAGGGTTTATATATGGGATGTGTGAAGAGGAACAATCATTACATATTGACAGTATTCTCACAGGTTCAAGAGAAATTTACATATAAGAGCAGTTTTCTTTAGAAAAAATTGCATAAATATTTTATCTGATGTATAGCTTTCTCACCATATTGTATAAAAGATTTTGCATGGGATAAACCCTTTACAAATTAGTTACCATATATGCACAAATCTTAACACCAGAAAAAGCATTTTTAGTAGAATAGATAGCTAACTCATGACTTTAAGCATGAGAGAAAAAATAAAAAATAAATGTAAATGCGATCTATTTGAATGAATGATTTTATGATACAGCTATTTCGGCCTTTCCGACAGCTTGTTCCTGTAAATCTGAAATGGAGTAGTAATGTGACTTCAATGTTTAAATGGAAAAACTTTAACTTAATGATGAAATGTTGTTAAGGTCTTGTATGCAAACCAATGGAACGAGAATCCACAAGATATAACCCGATTTGCTCCTGGATGTGAAGATTCGATTAAATTTTGCAATGTTACCAAATTCATTGAACAATCCAGACTACTCTTTTTCGACAATGTTCAAGAAGAATGTTTAAAGGGTGCCAAAAATTTGGTTCCACGTGAGGCTTTTCAAAATTTGAATTTCTTCGTCTTATGAATTTCGATTTATATTTTTCTCGCATATCAATTATCCCGGAAAACATCATTGTTTATTTTTACTAAAAACTAGTCTCCATAGATTCTGTTTACTTATTTTTATTTGGTTTGAAACGTGCGGTGAAGGTGAATACGAAGAGCAAGAGTTTGTCAATTTGGTGTAAAATGAATTATAGTCTTTCGATTTTTCTAGTATATGAATCTGTTGAAATATACGTGTTGAAAAAAATTAGATTCAATATTTAGCAAATATCATACCATGTTGTTGTAGATTTTAGCTTGGAACATGTAAAATTTCAGCATTTAATGATTCTTAAAAGAAGTTTTGGTTTTCCAAAAAATTTATAATTTATTTTATCAATCTTATTCTTTTTAGATGTTGTCCGAAGATCAACCGGACCAACGAATATTGATGAAGTAGTTGATCGTATTCAACTGTATTGAGGACAAAAAAAGATTTTATTCGAGTTTATTTTTGTTTTGTCAATTTCATATTATACTTTTACTCAGCTGAATCCTGCACATATGAAATTCTCAAATTGCTAAATATTTTCCAGTTTCCTTATTCTCCTGTTTAAAGATATTCGTAATCAATTTTAGCTATAACAGTTTTTCACTTTTGGATTTTGCTGTTACTTTATATTATTGCTCTGTTCTCAGGAATTTAAACTTGTTTGTCATCACTTTTACTTCATAATCACCTTCTCATGAATAATTATTTCAAATACACATATCCATATATAACACAGAGATTTCCTAATATTGAAATTTTATTTGAAAAGAATGTCTTTCTTATCCTTTTAAGAGCGACAAAAATATTTCACGCTTCATAAATGTTGTCGGGGAAAGATTTTGCAGTTTATTTTTTGTTGTTGTGACTCCACAACATTAATAGTAACCTTTATTGGTATTATACGATATGGTATAATATCACACTGAAACAATAATAAGGACGAAATGAACAATACACAATAAATATTAAAGGATATTAAACGATCTTGTCATTCGTGCTGTTGAGCTGACCAATTGCCGCTTCTCTGTCGTTGAACCGTTGTCGCGCGAGCTGCCCGATTAACTAGTTGAACGAGTTGTTGGACTGAATGATTGTGGGAGCTGTCGGATCGAGTGACTGCTCAAACTTTTTGATTTGATAACCGACTGTACCAGGATGACTAATCCTAACTTCTTTTATAATAGGAATGGTTTAACATTCCAGATACATTCCTTTAATTACCAGACTAAAGGCTCTTTACAAAATTTCGACATTTGCGTATAAATTCTTTATAACATTCCACAATTGCATGTAAGTTTGATTAACAGATTGGAAAAAGTTTACAACAAAAGCTTTCTGTGAAACGTTTAACCATTGCAATTAAGAATGGTTTGAAAATTGAAAGAGTTGGATTTGGATGAATGATTCATTAATTCATCACTTTAGGTATCGATATATTTGTTTTATTGATTTTGTGTAACTAGTCATTTATCTGAGAA